GATAGCTGCTGGCTACATCTGCGCGCGTGCGCGCACACACACACACACATATATATAATATTTGTCTCATCTGCGCAAACGTGCACTTTCGCGCGCCTCCTGCACACACACCACCTCTTTTGGCAGGCCCTTTTCAATCATGAGTGAGTGAGTGAGTGTGTGTGAGTGTGTGTGTGTGTGTGTGGGGGAAATTAATGCTGCACCTGCCACGCCACTTTCAAACCGTGTTCCATGACATGTTCCGTGACTCCCTCTTCCCCGTGTCATGTCTTCTGCAGAGCCATGCCACTTGCCAAAAAGATGTTGGTAAATGTTTGCCGAAACGATGGATGGATTCCTTCCATAGTTCTCTGGGAACGAGAAAAGAGATTGCCTTGATCTTCTCTACAAACACCTCTTTCGCCTCTTTCATGTATTTTGTCGAAACGTTAAACCATGAAACAAACAAACATCAAACAGTGGGCGACTTTCATTCTTACAGGTGCAGAAGGAAGAGGAGCAAGTTGGCTCGGTCCCTGCAGATGTGTATGGAGCATACATCCAGGCTGCAGGTGGCTGGTGCCTTGCAGTGACTGTGCTCATTGGAGTGCTTTGTGGACAAGGCTGGCAGTCCTGCGTTGCTGGATCTTTTTCTTGCTTTGTTCTGAAGAGCGTCTCTGTGAAAGTCAAAGTCTGGCAGTCCAAAAGGGTGCGCCGTGCGCTTTCTGGCCAGGTTTGCAAGCCTTGTCGGGTGGCTGGATCTCATATTGGTCAGACCACTCGAAACCTGACAATCCGCACCACATCTCAAGCCAAGTTGGACTGATCGGCTATGCAAGTCTCAGCTTGGCAGTAACTTCCCTTGCAAGTTTTTTCCTGCTCTTTGGGTAAGAACATGCATGAACTCCAGTGGGTCTCAGCCATGGTTTTGAACCCGGAAAATCCCTTGCTTTTGGAACCCCAGCAGCTCGCACAAGAATACTTATTGTGTTTGGGACCAACATGACACCAGATCAGGCATTCTGTGGCATTTTCCTCACCAGCGCCTTGTTCCGACTGACAGCTCTGAAGGCGGCCCGATCCTTTCATCGGAAGTTGCTGTCGACAGTGCTCCGGCTGCCGATGACCTTCTTTGATACGACACCATTGGGGCGGGTCCTGAATCGATTTTCCAAGGACATTTACACCATTGATGAGGTTCTGCAAAACATTTTGTATTCCTATTTGCAGGTGGTCTCAGTGGTCGTTTGCACCATGATTGTGATCTCAGCTGCGACGCCCTGGTTCTTGGTCGTGATTTTCCCCTTGCTGCTTGTTTACCGGGCCACACAGAATTTCTACATCCCAGCATCAAGACAATTGAAGCGAATTGAATCCAACCTGCGATCTCCTATTTTTTCTCATTTTTCGGAGACTCTGGATGGCACTGCTCTCATCCGAGCGTTTGGCCAGCAGCAGATCTTCATTTCAGAAAACATGGGCAAAGTCAGTAAGAACATGCGAGCTTACTATTCCAATTTCTCCTCCAACCGATGGTTGGCAGTCCGGTTGGAAAGCTTCGGCGCAGGGATCACATTTTGTGCAGGCACTTTAGCCGTGGTTGGGAGACATCAAATCAGCGCTGGGGTGGCTGGACTGTCCATTTCTTATGCACTTTCAATCACACAAGCACTGAATTGGGTGGTGCGCATGGCCGCCGACCGTGAGACCAGTATCGTCTCAGTGGAGCGGGTCCGTGAGTACCTGCGCCTAGAGCTCGAGCCGCCGCATCATTGTGAGAATGATCCGGCACCCAACTCATGGCCCACGAGTGGGAGCATTGAGTTTCAAAATGTCTTTTTGCGCTACCGACCTGAGCTGCCCACGGTGTTGAATGGTTTGAGTCTTGAGATTCGATCGAGGGAGAAGATTGGAATTTGTGGAAGGACCGGCGCCGGAAAGTCTTCGGTGCTGAATTTACTTTTGAGAATTGTCGAGGCAGAATCTGGCTGTGTGAAAGTGGATGGTCTCGATATCAAGACTTTGGGCTTGCACCGTTTGCGGCACAGCATCACCGTGATACCTCAAGATCCAGTGCTCTTCTCTGGTACTCTCCGCTTCAATCTGGACCCTTTGAACGAAGCAGCTGATGGGGGACAGTATTGGCAGGCTCTTCAACGCTCCCACCTCTCAGATCATGTTGCTCGCTTAGAAAGAGAGAATGCCGAGGACGAAGGAGGTAGATCCAATGGCCTTGAGGTCTTTGTGCAAGAGCAAGGGAAGAACTTCTCTTTAGGACAACGCCAGCAGATGTGTCTTGCAAGGGCCTTGATGCGATCAAATCTCATTTTGTTGCTCGATGAGGCAACCTCAGCAGTTGACAGGGAGACCGATGATTTGATCCAGCAAACCATCAAAGAGGAGTTTGCCGATCACACCGTCTTGTGCATCGCTCATCGCATTTCAACCATCATGAACTCTGACCGAGTCTGTGTATTGGATGCCGGGAAACTGGCCGAGATCGGAGCGCCGGCAGATCTCATGCAGGTGAACCACGATTTGCTTCAGAAATTGTGACAAACGACACCCTGAGAGCTTCAATTTGAGAGGTTCTGGGAGGGATCCTACTGTAAAATACTGTATGTATATATTTAAATACATTTGTAATTTTGTAGATGTATACATGTTACATACTACTTAATGTTTAAAGGTTGTTTGGGTAAAGTGAGCCAATCCGACCAATTCTTTGGTTAACATCCAAAGAGCCACCCACAGAATCAACATGGTACTCATAGCAGTCATAGCATAGTCCCATCCACAAATTCAGTGGAGTTTGCGCACGGATCATGTCATGGACCCAGCTCTGATGCAAATCCAAGGCGAAGGACTCTCGCTTTGCCCAGCTTGCAGCACTGGACGCCGCATAGTGCTGCATAGCTATCATAGTCTACATAGTAGTACAGAGCACAGTCGGACAGCGGGTCCAAGACAAAAGAGGCTGACATCGGGAACCCTTTCGGTTTCTTGCAGCAAGAAAGAGCATTGAAGACGCCAGAAGACAACCAGTTTCAACATTGTGGTTCGATACCATCACACTTCCTATATTGTTTAGTCGGTTCTCGCAATTGCTTTCCTTCCTGGCTCAGACACGTGGAGAGTGAGAATGTCAAGTCGTGCCATTGGACCCTCTCACGCAGAGCCTCACAGATTCTCACACTCTCAACGTCAAAGTGATGTGAACAAGGCAACAAACCACGAATCCTTTGAGTCGCTTTTGACCCATTACACTAGTACCCTACTACCCACAGACCTGGTTTTTGATTCAACCCTCGCGTGGCGGATTGAGTGAATTGAAGCTGATGCTGGCTTCACTGACCACTGACTTGTTGGGGCGTTGGCGATGTTTGGAGACCGGAATGGTCATCGATGTGAGAGTCACAGGGAGTTCCTTCTCCTACCGTGCTTACCATACCTCGGGAAGCTGTGTCTTTGAGATCCAAGCTGATCGCGGCAGGGTGAAGCTCCACCACAAGGCTGTTACGGGTGCGCCGCATTTTGTGTTGGAACCGCCCGGGGAGCAGGCCTTGCAACTCAATTGGAGGGCTCCAGCCACTGGTGAGACCCTAACATGGCAAAGACTACAACAGACCTGGAAGACCTTGCTATTGCAGCTGACTGGAGAGGTGGAGGACTTCGATCAGCAAAAGTCTGGAGGACTTCGTTTACAGGTCAGCAAGATCACCGGTGAGGTCATTTCAAGCATACGCATCGGATCTGCCCGAACCACAACTTGGCTGGATGCAAGACTGATGATGGCAGAGGGTCTGAGACCATTCCTTTGGAGGTCCAGGCTGGCCTTCATTTCCCCACAAGGGGAGCAGTTGACTCGCTTGGATGATACGAGATCGATTGCAGATGTTCTTGGTGGTCTCGCTGAGGTGAGTGAGGAGAAGAGGCGAAGTGTGGGCGGCTGAAGGAGCACAGAAGGCACCTACAGGCTAAGCCCCCAAGCTTCGCGGATTTGTGATGCCCGAGATGTGGTGTCCTATAGAGATGTGTCTCACCCAAACTTCGTCTCTATGTTTTCACAGTTCTCGTGGAAGTGAATGCCTCACCAAGTCCAGAGCGCGTAAGCTTTCCAAAGCTTATAAACTTATGAAGTGCTACACCTCAAAGTACTTGATACTTTTTGTGTTTTAGTAGCCATTCCGACAAAGATAGAACACGGCAAATTTGTTGACCTGGACTTTAGGCATCAGAGTCTGAGTAAGTCGTTCCCAGATGGAGAGGCTGCGATGGATTGCCATGGCTCCTTTTGCCAAGCTTTGCATGGCAAAAGCCCCAATTCTCGTGTCGAGGGACTGGCAACTCCGGAGGGCCTTCTGTACACGGTGGTGCAAGGTTGGCTTTCTAAGCACCGCAGCAGCACCGCAGCACTAGGCACTGCCTGCCCGCTCAGGCAACCTTTGGTGTTCATCGCATAAGCGATTCCTGGTGGGGTGGACAGATACGCGTTCAAAAAAGCTTGCCAACGGCTTTTTATGAACTTTGTCATGCCAATGGAATTTTCGTGTATTTGTTTGCTACATATCATAGTGCATCACCATGTGCCAGACTCAGGGACGTGCTGCAGACAGGTGGCTCTAGCTTGAGAAATACCACTCGTTGTTTGTTCGGGTGTAGTCCAACTGATGGGTGTGTATGAATTCACATCCCTGGCAAACGAAAAAGACGAAAAGCAACACCTGCTATGCACTAGAAGAAAAAACACCCGAGCAGACCTGATTGAATGCTCCGAATAGCCAAAGTGGCTGCAGCTTGTGGTGGCTTTACTTATGCTTCAGCCGGAGGCGGCAGAGGTGGGAAGGGGACAACCCAGGATAAGCTGTCCAGAGTTCCTTCCTTGAAAGGCAAGCCATCGGGGGATGAAGAGGGATTCATCATGACGCAGCAAAACACATGAGATCCCAGTTCAAGTCCACCTGGCTGCCCATGAAGACTTGGCGGAGATGGTTGTGTTATTTTCGAAGCGCCAATTGTTCTGCCAGGAAGCCCGGATCCGCCTTTGGCACCTGTGAAAGATGTGTCCTGGCTTAGAAGGATCCGAGCACAGGAATCCAATGCGTTAATGTGTTGGCCAGGCAGAGGACCTCCTAGATTGCCGCTCACTGAAGCTAGCTGCGAGTTGTCCAATTACCTCAGACAAGAACGCAACTTGGACTTAAGGTCATGGACACTCGATGCGGGGTGGTGAAGACTGTAGTCCTAGTTTTCTGTTGAGATCAGTAGACAAGCCTTTGTTTGGTGTTTGTGTTAGGTTTGCAGCATTCCTCGTTCCTTATTATGTTCATTCTGCATGTATCTGTATGTTCTATCGATAATCTTGGCTTGCAGGCACTGACATGTTTATGCGCTTTGTTTCTGAGGAATGTGAGGCGACCACAGTGGAATACAGTGGAATCAGATACATGTGCTATTTCACCGAGAACACTTATGGCAGCATTTCGGCCACCCTCAAGGCCAACCGTTGTGCCTCGGCTTGCAGAAGCAGGGACTACATCAGGACCCCTTCTTGTTTGGGAAGCTTTTGGCTTTTGCTGATGACACATTGGCTTTGTCAACGGATGTCATCAAACTCCCGCAGCCCAGAACAACATTTGGTCTACCCAAACTGTAAGCGTCGGCTGAGGCAATAGTTGCTCGTTTAAGGTATTGATGATAATGAATGTGTGTATATATAATGTAAGTTGACCAAGTTGTTATCATAGTTAGAATACGACTGTGACCCAATCTTGAAATTAAAAGAGGTCTCTTTGTGAGCCCCGGGGTCACAGTTTGCAACCAACTTTTGGGGCAACTTCATTTGTTCATCCTTCAATCCGTGGGCCAGGCAATGTGGACATGAACAGCAAGGTTTGTCGGCAAGTTTGGTGATGACTGCGGGCGTGTGCACGAGGTGAACAAAGATGGAGCAGACTTGTGCAATTGGTATTGTGAGTAGTGGATTGATGCTCTCGTCCTGCGTGAAGGCCTCTGACGGTTTCTGATGCTTTTGCCTCAAGCCATGGTGGCTTTCAGTCTAACTGAGAAAAGTTGAGTGACCTTACAGTTCTTGCTTTCCAGCATGCCCAGCCAAACTCCTACTCTGACACATCCACTAGCTGCAAGTCAACAAAAGCAAATTCCACCGTGGCCAAAGATCTGAATCGCGACCATGCAGGAAGACCAATGCAGACTTTCAACATTTTTGAGCACAGTTTGACAGCTACTAGGTGTTGGCTATCGCTACTAGGAACATCTTCATACTCCTTGAGTCGCATCGAGTCAACACGATGACTCATTGAGCATCCTTTTGGGCCCACATGGGGCTGAGAACCCCAACGAGTCCTTGCTCGCCGAGCCCTTGCTCGCCAAGGACAGTACGGTTGGACGTTACTTAAGTTCTAAACATTTCTATACTAGACTTAATTGACTCTTGACCAAGCTAATGTGCACACTTGACCTTGTCAGGCAGTACAGCACCTTCTTGAAGGCCCAGGACGGACCTTATATATATATATATTTATTTTTATTAAAAAAAAAACATTTTTTTTCCTTCCTTTTGCTCAAGGCCACGTACATAGTAGTTCCTGGGCCTTACGGAGGCTTTGTTCTTCCGCCAGTTTTTCCAATTTGGCTCTCAAAACTCAAGAGGAGTTGTAAGTGTAAGAGGAACACTCAATTGAGCGCTTGTTAGATTGATTGCTAGATGCCGTCACTGTTCAGGAATCATCGCCGACTCTCGTGCTTGCCCATGCGAGAATTGGCGATTCAGGCGAGGTTTGTTCCGTTCGAAGGATAGGGTGCACGGCCATCGGTTCGGCTGAGGAGCTCAGGAAGTGGCTGAGTTTGCCAGCAAAAGTGCCGAGGCTCAGGTCGCGCGTCTTCACCGGGCAAAGGCCAAAGAAGGCCAAAGAAGGCGAAGGGAAGTTATTTTGTATTCTATTTTATGCGCATGAGGGGTGTAGGATAAACTCAGTCCCCAAGATTGTTGTGTATCCTGAAACACACTTACACTTTTGTGCAATCCTACTGTCTGATGAGCGGCCAAGGTGTGCATTTGCGCTTGCTTGACTTGACTGGCTGTGAGATCACGCAGTGCCCTCAACGAGGTTTCCACTGTTTCCACTGTTGATTCCTGTCATTGTAACATTTTTTCCTCAAACAGATCTTATTAGATCTCATTAGTATCTACGGAACATCCTTTGCATACACCATGAAATCAAAACTATCCAATTATGGTGTGTGTGCCACTCAGGGTGTTGGGCTCTGTTTGGCACCTGCATAGATGTCATTCGTACTGATCCTATTTGATACTCCAAATCCTGTTGCCATCAACCACTACTTCTCAAACATGCCTGGCATAAAGGTAATTGCAAAAACACCCCACCCACACGCTGAGGTCTACAGGTGTACTCCATTTGGCGGAGGTGCTGAGGCTGGGGCCCAAGCTGGGCGATCTTTTCTTTGCTGAACCCTAAGAGCGATGGCCTCCACCCTACTAGCGATGGCCTCCACCCTAGAAGCGATGACCTCCAACCTAATTCCGATGGCCTCCACGTAATAGCATCCTTTAACATATATGATATATTTATTCATTTGCACATGTTTGCACTTTTGCATTGTATTGTTCTTGTGGCTGTTGGGGATTGTCGATTTGCTTCGATTATTGTTTTACCAATTTCAGCACAGGTGATTAAACGGATGGTTTGTCCACAGCGATCTGTTGTAAGGCAGCTTTTCAATGTAAGTGCAATGAATGGGTAAGTTCGCTGCAGGATAACTTAGTAACTTCCTTGTGGCATTCTGATGTTTCCTTTGCATGGACCAAAGCAGCACCCTACTTTGCAAGTTCCAGTGTTCAACTTTCCAAGAGTTGGTTGGTGGAACAACGACTCGGAGTTCTTTCTTTCTAAGATGCAGCATTACGCTGGAGAGCCTTGTACTACGCCACAATGACATCATGTCTGGACCTGCTGGGGAGGCAAGAATCGGAGGGCTTGACATGTTCTTGGCCAAATTTCTTGCAACTTCAAGGGATGTCTCTAAGGATCTTGCAAAAGGTGTTTTGCCCATCTATCTTCACTATTATATATATATAATTGGATTTGAAGGATTTGGGGACGGGGTCTCTCCCCAGTTTTGACACTCGGCCAGCTTTCGATTTTTGTGGGCTTCCCAAACGCAGGAAGGGCTAGCAGCTCTTTGCCAAGCAGCTGCGTCCAGCTCTTCGTTGAGGACAGGAGACTGAAAGAACTTGTGGTAGTCGGAGATTATCGGATCAGTCCGGTCTAGGAGTCTAAGGGCAAGAGTTTATCGATCGGAGCGCCGGAATGTGCTCGAGGCATTTGGACCTTCGACACTGTGGCGTACATGGGGAGTCAGCGGCCGCTCACGTGGCCTCGATCTTGCAGGATTGCTCCTCGGTCTCGGTCTGCTACATGACATGGACTTGGACCATTGGATATTCCAATATTTTGTAGAATATGGACCTGGATATATGATATACACTCCGACTCACTAACGTGGAAGTGGAAAATGGTCCCTTGGAAGACTACGAACAGGGTTTTTGCCTATAATCACCAAGCGCAACCAGTCTCCACGCATGAAACGTGGCTGGTCTTGTACCAGGCCACAGGCCTAAGTACAGAAAGAACCCAAATGCAAAGTGAGAAACTACCGAATTGGAATCCTCCATGACGCCAACGTACGACCAGCACCAAAGGAAAGAAGCTTGGCCAGCTTACAAAGGCACTCATCTCCAAACCACGGCGTTGCACCACAAATTGTTCCTTGTGGAAGGGTTCTTCCATCTACCCTTTGGAAGGTTGTGTGGAAAACGCATGAAAACGCCAGGGAAAGGTTGTGCCGAGTCTGTCTTGGACAGCAAAAGCATAACCAGGCGCAGTTTGTGATAGTAGGCGTAGTACCGTAGTACGTTACAAGGTCAATGTCAGCATCCAAACTCCAACCTTGGAAGGCAAGAAAGACCGCGAGCTCACCAAAAGAGACGGAGTAATTGGCATCAACCTGCCAACGCAGCTGGTTCAAAAGCTGGCAAACTGTAGCCCATTCTGTCGTTGAACCATCCGACTTGGGTGGGACGGCAATCCTCCTGGGGATCTTTGGTCGCCAGGGAAAGGCGGAAATCTCAAGATTCCACTACCACGACGGGAAGCTTCCTTATAACTCGCAAGTGAAAAATCACCATCTGGACCAACATAGGATGAACTTGATGCAGAAGCATCTGTAGGCAACAAGTTGTGCGCATTGCTCAACCACTGTTGGTGATGTAGTGCTGCTTCCTCAATTGACGGGGTGAAATTGGTGAAGACTGGTGACATGCGATGCGCGAACTCTTTTGCCGTGAGATCGGCCGTGCGGTTGCGCTCTATATGCATCACAGTTGTGCCATGCGTTGCAGCCAAACTTTTGAAATAGGAAGATGTTCCAATTTGTGCGCCGGGATCCAAGAAATCGAGAAAGGCTGAGGATGAATGGTGGATCGTTCACGGAATCCACCACTCTTGGCAACTCCAGTCAATCCCGACAACACAATTGTAGCCTGCTCGACAACTGCCTTACAGTCGCCAAAAATGTGTACACGGAACGTTTGAACGCGGGCCTGGAGTACTGCGAAGAGTTCTGGAGCATAGGCAGCATAGGCGTGGCAATGAAGCCTATTCACCAGGCCTTTCTCCAGTACTTGGTTGTCAGCGTCGACGATTGCGTAGGCAGCTGTTGTTAAGCAAAACTGATGGATCTTTAGGACAGACCCATCCGTCCATAGTTCGATTTCCTGATTCGGTTGAACAACCTGAGCATGCAAATCACTCACTTGAGAGGTGAGAAGGAGTCTTTTAGCAAACAACTTGGGGTGTTCCACACTGCCAGTGATCGGGGTATTTGCGCCAAGTTCGTGTAGAACGGGAACACCAACAATTTTGTGCAGCTCCTCACACTCATAAACCAAGTCAGGCATTGGTTCTTGGATATCTCTGCTTGAATTATAGCGACGTCGCCCGACGTTGCTTAAAAAATCGACCGAAGTTTCTGAATTAAGGGTGGTTCTCTTTTTCATTTTGTGAAATACTTCCACGCCAAGCACTTGCAAACCAGGCCTTGCAATTTTATCAGTTCACGCTGGTTTGCAAGACGCCGTGTAAGGTGACCTGGACACGGCTGGCCAAATCTAAACAAGGGTGCCTGCTCAAGGTGTCAAGCAAAACTCTTCTGGCGCCTTTGGCAGCTTGAATCTTGTGTCTTAAAGCTCTTGCCAAGTCCCCGGGAGAAATCGAGCCCAGGGACGTTTCTCAAGACGTCCAATTTGAGCTTTTCGCGGCCTGAGAAGTTCAAATTTAGGCGTCTTGAGAAATCACGGTGCGAGAAAGCCTAGCTCCTTGAACAGAGTTTATTTCCCACCTTCCAAGCCAGGCCAGGAAGCTGTTGCCAGGAGGGAAGCGGGCATGCCGCAAGAGTGAAAAGAGAGGGCACTGCATATTGTTTTTTGCAATGATTGTCACACGCTTGAAGCTTCGTGTGAAGTGAGGGGCCTCACGCCATACTTGACTTGTAATATTTTGTAATAATTCCTAGGTTGTTAGGTTGATTATTTCTTCCCCCTGCGACGTCACTATAATTTTGTTACTTCACGCGACCTAAGTCTTACTTCAATATTGAAATAGAATTCGACCTAACGACCTGCGAACTACTGTAACTCAGCCAGATGTATGATATATATATACACACTGTACTCATGTATATACATATGAATATATGAATATCTGCTACAGCGGTCTACAGTACACTTTCCTTCTCAAAGGACTTGTAGACAGGTTGTGTTCACAGAGTGTCCAAGGACAGATCCCAGTGCAAAAAGCCAAGATAAGGGGTCATTTTGGGCGTCACTTGTGTACCTATGGGCCTGCAACCGATTCCCGAATGTGTCGACGTGTTTTGGCCCTATAGCACAAGGGTGACCCCCATGCAATTCTTCAGGAATCAACCCCAGGGTTGCCTCTAACAAATCGCCAGGGCAACGGTGGGCTGTCTCATTTGGAGCTCTCGTGGAACCACCTGGAGCCCTCTGGCGGACAGGCTCCCATGCGAGAGTTGAACTGTTTGCGGATGTCCCAGGTCAGAAGAGAATCATGTGGTGCTGGATAATTTTTTGATATTTTTTGTTCACTCCCAAAGTCCCAAAGGAGAGGAGGTTCGTTTAGGTTTATCTACTTCCACTTGAAGACAGATTTGGGATGGTTTAGGTGGTTCAGACTTGCAATCAAGATTCAAGTTCCAACTCTTGGCCATGTTGTCCGCTGTTGGCTGTTAGATAGTCTGACTGGTACATGCAATGACGCTTCAGTGTTCTTCCTTTCGTATGACGATTGATAAGCTGATGGATGGAATTTGAGCCACATGGAAAGGCCAAACGAAATAGTCAGGGCATGTAAGGGCCGACAGCCATAGCCATACTGTAGGGTTAAATATTAATGTTCAGCCCTGGGAGCTTGCTTGCTTGAGACAGTTGGTTTGGAGGTCCCAAGAAAGCGTCACATCCCAAGCTCAAACCGTCACATTCCATATCACATGCTTGGCAGGTGCTTTTGGACGGTATCCGAAAAACATCCGGTCTTTATGATTGTCAGCTCACCGGTTGCAGGCCAACTGACTGGGAGGATAATCATGCAAGATTCAATCAAAGATTTCCAAAGTATGGGGAGCAATCAGCAAGAAGGAAGTGGCACCACGTTTTGGCATACCGCTGTCTACATTTTTGCTTGCGGCACTAGCACCCAGTTTCTTTGTATTCAAAAAAATTTAGGTATGGCTTTCCTGCCACGGCTTCAGGCTGGCCGACGAAACGCTTCGCGATGTTGCTGAATTGCTGTTGCGAAACAGAAAAGCCCGGACCTGAGATTTGACACCAGAACTAGTATGAAATAGCAAGAGCACTTCGTTGTACACACCGTTGTCGGAACATCTACCAATCTTGCCCGCTTGGCAACAATATTAAATAGTGGCAAGTGGCAACGCTGTTTCATCATGTGTCAAACTTCTGATTTCTGCACCTGGCGGGTGGTGCAGTCAAGCAGGCGCACAAGGCCAGTATGCAAGCGGGTCCATACAAGGCTGCGAAAATGCCGTTTTATGTCCTTCCTGTGACCTAGAACCTTTATCGAAGCTGGTCACAAGCAACACAAAGAGCGCTGTTGGATGTGTTAGTTGTTCTAGATAATTAATGGAGTAAGTACTTTGCAGCGGCTGCCATCAAAAAGCCAAATGGGCCTTCACTCCTGCTGTTGTTTTGTAGACCAGCTATCCGAAGCCTTGACACATAGCTTGAACACGCCAGAGTCGCCGGAGGACATGTTGGGAGGACTCTTTTTTGTATATATATATATAATTGCCTCAACCGGTTCGGGGAGTGGTCGAATGCATCCATGCGCCGCTGCAGGGCTCATGGCTGAAGAACAACGCAGAGCTGGAGTTCGAAGGTCAAGTGCCTGTCGGCATCTCAATGCAGAGAGGACCATCTTTTTGCAACCAACGCTCATCAAAACCACAAGACAGTTCAAGGGAATCTCATCACGCAAAGAGGCTGGATGTAGCTGGTAGTTTCTGCTCACGAAACGAGGGTAGGGCTTACGCGGTCGACGCCGGGGGCATGGAAGCACCGGGGTTCGACGTCCGTGGGCAAGAAGGGTGACGAACACAGAACGAACGCAATTGACTAGACTAGATTGGTGATGAACCTACCGTGCCTGCTGGGGCCTCAAAGTCTAGCTTCAAGTGGCCTGACACTGCTTGGAGCATGGTGTGGGAAAACCAACTCACCGAAAGCACCTAAGGTGCAGCTACTTTATGCTATTGTTCTTTTCTCATTTTTGAATATCTTTTCACAAACAAATGCAAGAAACGCCTACCGCTCACCAGTTCGTGATCCACAGCACCAAAAACTGTCAACTTTTGGGCAGCTTTGTTCTTGGTGGCGAACTAACACCTGTGTCGGCACTTGCAGCAAGATCTGCCAGTCACAACATACTTATTACATATCATTATTAGTACTACTCAAGTGATACAACTTACAACGTTACCCTACTGCAGTGTACTACATCACCAAGGGTAAAAGCTTGCCTCTTCACTAAGTCAGAACCTCCCACTGAAACACCGGGTCACTGGCTTCTTATTTGAAGAGCCCTTGGAGTTTCGTGTTCGATTTCCGCTTTGCACCCGACAAAAGAGCGAAGTGACCTCGTGATGTACGCTTCGTAACTAAGTACGCGACACTGTCTGAGGCGACGCCGTCTGGGATGCGCAGTCAAGGGCAGGTAGCTGGACAGTTGGACCGGGCCTTCAGGTCTTTTTACAGGAATAGAAGTGGCTCCACTTTAAGGGGTTAATAACAGGGCCAACAAGCAGGAATGAAGGCACATCCAGGCACGCGCTGAAAGCATCAGTGTTGGATAGACACTCTGGAGACAACAGTTGATGGTTGAGAATGACAAGCTTTCAGAATATCGAGCGCTTCTTGAATGGCTTGGATGGGTCGCCTGTCCACCAATATTCAGGCGGCTGCTGCGAATCATCCGCTCCGATATGCTGCCACTTGTTTCAATTGATGGGCTGCCGATGTCACTGGACGGAACTTCCCGTGAGCCACAAGCATTGTCCAAGGTTGAAGGCCCGTTCTCCCTGGTTTCTGACAAGCCACAGCTTAGCTGTTAGCTGACCTAATTACATCATGTGTCCGACGAGAGTGCGTGCAAGGGAAACGAACTCCAATCGGACTGTACCTTGAGGGCATGGAGTTCAAGGGCCAACACAACTCCGATAGAGAGGCTCAACGGTCTATGAACAATGGGACTGAAAGGCAGTGCCGAAACATGTACGCTGTATAGATATCGTGAATATAAATCTAAGTTCTAAGGATATATATATATACTAATGCAGATATCAAGTAAAGGTCCCTATTTGCTGAGGGATAACTCCAAGCAACAAACAAAGGGCAAGCCACAGCTATAAGAGGTTTTTGTTTCCCCATTCATTGTTCTTCAGAGTAGATTAGATGGTGTCAGGATGCTTGTGACATGTGTTTGGCCGCTGGGAGCTCAGGTGGCCAATATCCCCAGCAACGCAGCAGGGGACCTAGCAAGGTGAGGTGTGGGAAGGTGAATGAAGGAGCGAGCACCGGAACTTGCATTTGTTGATTTTTAGTTTGTACCTACCAACAACGCCTCCAAAGGGCTCTACCCATTGCTACAACAAACCAGAACACTTGAACGCAAACTGATAGTATACAAGATCGCTTGAAGAAGCTGAGCCAAAGATCATGCTTTGGGAGTTTCCTGCACACACCTTGCGGATGCTGAGACATGGTGCAGATCCCTTTTAGGATATCTCATATCAAAGATAGTCTTAAGGTCGTCTCTGATGAGAAGACCGCAGAGCTCATTGAAAGGCTGGGGTGGAGGGATCATCACATCCTTGGATTCTCTTCTGTAGACTAGAGCGGGTACTGTATGTCTCATAAATCACAGTGTAGGTTTTTTATTCAAAGGAGTTGGATGTTTATTTCTGGTGAGTTTTATTCTGGTCGTTGCATGTTGGGTATTTGTATAACTCCAGCCCCTTTCGCGGAACATACCTGGATGAGAAGAATGGCGAGGCTCTTCGAAGTGAGACATCGCTTTCTGCCGGAGTGGCTACGCTCAGTGGAATGGACTTGAAGGGAGTTTAGCCAGAAACAAGCCTCAAATGGCCTCAAAGGTTGCTAATGACTTACATCTCATCCCCCAGGAACAAGCTCAACAGTCCCGGATTGCAACTTATGTGCCTACCGAGTAAATCTGAGGAATGTGACCTATGATGCCACAGGTGTTCTGTCATTTGCACGCACACAAACGTACATAGATGAGATGACAATCAGCAAGTGCAGAGTGGCAGCATATTGCCCATGACCATGGCTGGTAAAAGCCTGAAGACTACGTTGTTTTTTCTTTAGCAGGAGGATCTCTCCAGCTGAGCGGGTTCGGCTGCTGAGGTCGTCGTCTGGGAAGATCACTCAAATACATGAATTTCTTGAGTCAGCGGCCCAGCTCTGGAGTTTTCACGCCATTTCGCACCCCAGCATCCCTTCTGAAGTTATCAGTTATCTCTCCTTCATCTTTGCATTCTTTGGATCTCATGTTTGATCACTTCAAGTCACTATTGAAGATACAAGTAAGCAATTAAGGCAACCAGTTGGCAGGTGGTGTCAGGAGACTTTCCTGATTGTCCGGCGTTTAACATCAGTCACCACGGTCCGACCACTCTTTGGGCTTTGCACGGACCGCAACCGATTCAACGTTGAGTGAGGTACTTGCAACGAGGCCAGGCTGATGCCAAAGAGAATCGGCAGGTGCCCACTGGGACAGGTCTGGGAGTCTGACATGATTGGGTCGCTGCTTGAGAATGTGAAAACATGACCTCCAGTGGTTCAAGATAGGGCCGTACAATCTGTAAATTGCTGGTTGTTTTTGTAAGGTCATTATTCCTTTGCTGCTCGAAGCTTATGACCTTCATCAAATTGCTGTGTTGGCTCAGAATCATGATTCCAAGAATGAGGCTGAATGAGGTGTACGTATAGTATATAATGTTTTCTTGGACAGAGACTGCAGGGCTTTTTCTTGATTGTTTACAGAGAACATGGTGTTTAGCAAAGCCATACAAAGCCCGTCTTTGTTATTCTGTGAATTCTGCGGACGTCTCGACGGAGCTATCTGCATAGAGCGTGCACACACACAGAGCTTGGCTTAGCATAATATGCTGCAGACAGCCAAGTTTCCCTTTCAGTGTTTCTACGTCGACCATTGACCCTGCAAGCAGCTGGCATGTGCAGCCAGAAATGGTGCCGCTCTGGCCGAAACTGCTCTGGCCAGGCCACTCTTGTTTGAACATTTTCATAGCTTCAGATTCAGATCTAGCAATTGATTCTCCTTGAATCTGACGGCAAGACTCTTCGGTTTGGTGTAATTGAGAGCCTGAGTCATCCAACTCGTTCCAACCCTATTTTAGAAAGTCCAAATTCCAAATACATGTGTGAGAATAGGAGAGAATCACAGCACTGCGGCAGTGTGCCATGCAAATCCTTCCAGCTTCCGGCAGGGCTAATTTGCCTCGCTTGGCATGGAGCAGCCGTTGAGACCCCAGAGTCGGGTCGGCAGGCGTGGAGCTTCGCGAGAGGTGCAGAGTGCTGCTCATCGCCCCGCGGTGCGCAGGAATGGGGCCAGCTCATCGTCGTGCCCTAAGAGGATTTGGCAGATGGTTGAGGGATCAGCCGCAAGGGGACCTACATGGGATCCTAAAGGCTGACACTGACACCATACATATTACATACTGTATATGTTATCTGTTATACATATACTGGTACTACATACATATAGTCATGTAGTACACATATTCATCCATTTTGTATCCAACCTCTTCTCATGGTCTTGCGGTGCGCACTGACATGGATCATTTGGGCCCGGCATTTTCAGCTTGGCAAGAATCGGTGCATACATGAAAAGAGAGAGGCACAGGCTTCCAGAACTGGAGGCCATCGCTATTAGGTTGGAGGCCATTTAGTGCTTCAAAGCAACGCTACTAGGAGCAAGAACGCTACTAGGAACAAGTGCATCGCTACTAGTAACAAGTGCCTTACTAGTAGTAACAAGAAGCTACTAGGGGCTCCTGGCCTTACTACTAGGAGCAAGAACGCTACTAGGGGCTCCTGGCCGTACTACTAGGAACAAGAAGCTACTAGTAACAAGTGCATCGCTACTAGTAACAAGTGCCTTACTAGTAGTAACAAGAAGCTACGAACGGGGCTCCTGGCCTTACTAGGAGCAAGAACGCTACTAGGAACAAGTGCATCGCTACTAGTAACAAGTGCCTTACTAGTAGTAACAAGAAGCTACGAACGGGGCTCCTGGCCTTACTAGGAGCAAGAACGCTACTAGGAACAAGTGCATCGCTACTAGTAACAAGTGCCTTACTAGTAGTAACAAGAAGCTACTAGGGGCTCCTGGCATCGCAGCTGGTTGACGCACCGAGGCTTTGGGAGCGATGGATGGCTTCGGGTCGCTGTCAGAGGCGGGAGTCTGGGGTCCGGTGCACTTGGCTTTTGGTTTCCCAAGATGGATCATAGTATCAACAGCTATGTTAACGCATAACATGGTTCTTAAATGGATCTGAGATGATCTGGGTATGTGAGTTCATTCCAGTTCAGTGGAACGTCCAGGATGGCGACGCGGCCTGCCTCATGTCAGGTCCGGATGAAAATTGAGGGAAACTGGTGGACAATAATTTGAGTCAGTGTTCAACTAGTTTTCAACATGAGGTCCAATTCAGCTCAGCTACTAGGTGATAAAGATGATCAAAACAACAACACAATAACTATGTAATTATTATGTAACAAAAAAGTACAAGCGCAACAACGAAGAGTATGAGACAATGCCAAGCGCCGATGCATTTCTGTGCAGTTGCAGTTTGGCTTTTTGGGAGGCACTAGAAGTCTCTTAAAAATTTGCTTTTCTGGGGTAGAAACTATAGTTGTTCCAGTGTTGAGCTGCATCGTCATTTGTGTCGCTTTAGCTGTGCAGAGGTGGTGCTTCTCGGGTTGTGGATCTTGCAAGTGGTTTGTGCAAACTCTTTACCACAGGCTCCACCACATCTGGTGCCAAACTCTTCAACGCTTCCTCCCGCTTCGTGACCCTGCGCGATGACCCAGCCAGTGTTGGGTCGTGGAGCAGCGTTTGCACTGTTGACTGCTGGAATAGTGCAAGGATAGGGATCTTGGACCCGTCAAAGTGGGGATTCACTGACTGACAGAATCTCTCTGAATAAAACTACAAAGTAATTACATTGGCAGCTTTCCTGCTTGGTTTCTCAGTAAAAACCGAGAGATTGGCATAATTACCGCATGCTAGCACAACCGAATCAGGCTGCAGCAGGCAGGTTTCGGTGCAGACACAAGCGCCAAGCTGGCTGGTATTGACGGTTGATGGACAGAGCAAAAAACACATGTTTCTTGTGACCTTCATAGTATATATGTATAAATGTCCCAAGCTCGCAGACTTGAAACTTACATAGCCAGAGGGAAAACAGGCGGTAGTTCAATGCTAGAATCTAGAACAACAAGGCCAGAAAGACTGCACAGATGACAATCAGAACAACAACCAGCTGTCCTGCAAAGAAGATGCAAGAATGCAACCCTCATGTGCCACCTATCCTGGCATCGCTACTACAGTAGGAGCAAGGCTTCGCTACCAGGAGCAAGGACGCTACTAGGGACATAGGTCCAAACAGCTAAACCAGCATTTCGGGACACCTGGATTGTGAGAGTGGTTTTTGGAAAGTCCTTGGTTTGCCAGGCCCATCAAGCGGCCCATCTGTTGCAGACCCAGAAGTCCATGGGTTTGCAAGAATTCAGTGCAATCATTGATGCTTTGATGCTTGGAAGAAGGCCGACGGCTGTTGTCACAATTCCAAGGTCTTTGACCTCTGAGACCATTGCCAGTCTAGCCAGGGGCTTGGCAAAGGCTCAGAAGTGTGTGTGCTCATTCTACGAGAGGCTACGAGAGGCAACAGCTTGCATTAGGTCAATGTGATGTGGGACATGAACACAGGATGAATAGGACAAACCTTGGCCCTGGATGAGACAGGTCGGAAGCCTTCAAGCTTTGATCGAGCTGGAGGCTGGGATAGGGCTTCAGCTTGGCCTGTTTTGTTGAGGTTAATTCCATGTAGCTGGCAGGGCAGTGTGGCAGTGACTTGTTTGCCACATGAAGCTTTGTTAAGACTGCGGCCGGAAGCCCAGCTAACAAGTGCTGGTGGAACACAGCCATCTTCGCTGATCACCACTCTCAACATCCAGAAAGAGACACACTTGCATCAGAATTGCAAGCGAGGCGAGCAAGCGATGCGTTGCTTTTGCTGTGCTGGCCTCATCACGGGGTTCCCTGCGGTTCCCAGTTGCTTGTTCGCTCGCTTGGCTTACTATCTTAGGCAAGAGCGGGATGGACGACTCGCTTTGCAAGAAATGGAGATACAGGATGACTTGGTGCGACACACAGATTTGGTGGCGGTGAAAATACAGTGACAAGTGATACACTGACTGACAAGTGACATGATTTATATACATAGATGTGTGCACGCACGTAATGTCCGCACATTTTTGCAAGTTTTTGAATTTGACCAAGACCGACCTCACTGGCCACCAGAAGAGTTCGGTGTGTGTGATGATAACATCTATCTAGCCGCCACCGGACCAAGGTTATTGCGTCGCAGGACTTCAAGCTGAAGGATGTGCGGCTGTCCGGTGTGTCGGTTTCGAAATGTTGCACGTTGAGCTCTGTGTTTGATAGCAATCGAGACTGAGTGCTTGGGACAACTTCCTTCAAGCTTCAAGAGGAATATGCATCCTTCGGACGAGATTTGGGAACGATTTGGCGACATGCCCCTTCGCTGCAGACAAGAAAACTCTGATGTCTCCTCTGTAAACGATGTAGACTTAACTGTTAGCTTGTTGTGTGTAGATATATATATATGTATAATATATATTATATATTATACAACATGTTTAAAAATTGTGGTGATTATCAAAGGGATGCTGGAGCAAGGTTAGGTGATGCAGTGACGTTTAAGTTTATCCAAGCGGAACATGAGTATTCACTCTGTTTATTTATATTTTTTTTTTCAATTTCTAGTGATAAATTCGTTGCAACTGCATAGGGGGCCACTCAAAAACTCAGAACCCCGTTGACCCAGCTGACCCAGCTGACCCAACCACCACCACCACCACCACCACCACCACCACCACCACGACCACCACCACCATTACCACCACTTGCCATCAAACAAAGTTAAAGTCAATTGGGTCAACTGGGTTCAACCAGGTCAACCGGGACACCCTGTACAATGTGGTCAACCGGCCAAGCAGGCAGCACATTTACCGGCCCCCTACGCCGACACACTGGATAAATTTTAATATCTATCACTGTCGCAATGCAAATTTCCGCATACTCTGTGAATTTGAAGCAGGTTGCTTAGGCACTCCACCTGCACAGGTTAGGAGTAGTGGGAAGCAGTGCCACCATGACTTGAGCGAAGGTATTCCGCGATACTTGTAGGTTTGTGGACGCATGAGTTGTGCCTCCTTGAACATACCTGACGTATGTTTTGCTTTATTTTTTTTAAAGCTTTATACATCTTTATAATCAGCTGTATTCCGTGGTCGGCAAACGAAAGACGGGTGTGGGTGCCTGGATCCAGCTCAGAGACCCGAGGCCCTAAAAGATGCCTCACCTACCACTCCAAAGGTGCGGCATAAATCGGATGCTCTCAATGGTAAGGTGCAGTGACATTTATTTCCTAAGGGCAAAGAGATGTCTGTAAAGAAACGAGAGAATACATAAGAATGAATGAGAAAAACAAAGAGAACAGTAATTAATACTTATAGACTTTTGTTCGTCCGAGCATCTTGACCATCGCAAGGGAAAGTATTTGACCGCTCATTTGCTTCAATTGAGGAGGTTTTTAGATCAACCAGAGAGTTCCAAGTGGATGCGTTTGCAGGTTCCTCAGACTCCAGCAGTTGGATCACAGAGTCCAATGCCCTTAGACGTCCTGAAAGTCATCGCCTAAGAAATGGCTTGTGCAAGTTGATCATGTTCAGGCTGCAGACAACTCCAAGCCAAGACTCACTGTCTTGAAGAGGGAGGTTTGAGCTTGTACACTTGCATGATTGCACCAGGTCACCAGCATAATATCAATGATTCAACTTTAATTTGTATACACTTTGTTCTATTTGTTCTAGACTAGATTCTGTATATGTTTGGTGGTGATTTGGTTCGCCACATCGTGTTCGTCTCGACTGGGACATCAATTTTCGGCCGAATCCCTTACGAAACGCTACCCAACAAGAACGCTGCAACTCTGGTTTGGAATCTCATTCATGTCGTCTCTGTTTCGCCAACGCCCAAGGTCACGTCAGCCCTTTTGATCGGCTTCTTTGGCCACGGAGAGCGCCAATTTGACGGTGCAAAGAAGAGCTCATCCGCCCAGGCCTCGGGGTGCGCAAACCGAAGCCTCCGGGTACCCAACCAGCGTCCAAAGGTCAAACAACTATGACTAGTTCATGGGTTTTTGGGATGTTTTTAGTCAGACTAATGATGTCAGACTTGAGAACATCTTATCATGGAATTGCATGGAACATTCTGGAGCTGCTGATGGTGTTGCTCTTCTGTCTTTTTCCTCAGGTCTTCCTTTGGGAGGATCCTTTGCGGTTCACCACCTGCATGGAGCAATTACCTGAACTGGAGGCACCAAATCAGGTATGCAGAGCGACACGTAGTTGAGATAATTGCTCGCTGCAGTATTGGCAATATCGGCTTGTGCCCCAGCAGAGTCGTCATTGTCTTTGTTCCAGGTCTCGATTAAACGACGTGTGAAGGTCAAGTCCTGAGGGGTTTACTGTACAATGAGCACCGTGCCTGCTGTGACAGGCTGTCTGGACTTCAATCGGCACCGTGCTTCAGACGGCGTCTCCGAGACCAAAACTTTGGGGTCCGGCCCTCGAAAACCCAGGTTTTCACTAATATCTGACACCTGGACACCAGGATTTCCCTGACCATTTTTGTGGTCATTTTACAATATTTTACAAACTTTGTGATTCTTGGTGCCTAGCTTGCAAACAACAGTTTGTAGACTGGGCATGTCCCCTTTCTCCCCTTTCTAGACTAAAACTAAAACCTATCATCACACCACCAACCCTAGGCTTTTCCACACCTGATGAAGATGTCAGACATCGGGAGGTGCAGCAGTTGGTGAGGGAGCCCAGAGTTAGTTCTCGAGGCAACCTGAATGTTGGAAGATCTGTCAGCGACGATGTCCGAACCAACAACGTTGAATTATGGTTACTCTAAGCCGTTTCATGGCTGGAGGCACGATTGGGCCGGATTTTGCAGCAGCTTCCAGGGCTCCTTCATCATTGTGGACTGTTGAGAGCTGAGACTGTGGGGCACAGAGCTGGGCCCAAGCGACCTGCTCTGACGCCTTTGATCGGAAGCCCAAGAAGTGACGCTGCCGTTTCCGATGACTAGCCACTCCGATGACTTTAGGCAGGGAAAGGAGAAGAAGATGTTCCAGCAGTCTTTGGCCGTTTTTGAATCGCCGCCCGCACGGGTCCCAAGACTTCCCAGAGACCCAGCCAAACATGTGCTTTGGTGATGAGCCTACAAACAACGATGACCAACTCTCAGGACAAGCTTTTGCTTTGCTCAGGAAAGGGTTCTGAACGCTGCAGCATCGTCACTTTTCATCTTGGAGCAGCACTGGACTGCCAATGCATGGCAGGACCCCTTGAATGAGGGCTGTTGAATGAGGGTAAAGGGGCCCTTATCCTTGTTTCCACCTCTTCACAGACTTGTTTTTCTTTGCTAGTTCACACTTAATTATCTTCAATTTTGTTTTGTAATTGGCATGTTCCAATCTTGCCTTATCTGACCCTCGTGGCTTGACCATGGCTCCAGCCTGAACATTGCAGCTGAGAGCATAAGTTGATGCTCTTTCGCGATCCGAATTATTTTCAAACATATAGATGTCTCTCACCCACATTTCCAGGTTTCGCTCTTTTCGACCAATTTCTTTGGGACCATGCATGTACATTGTGTCCAGGCAACTTTCCTTTTCTCTTGATCTCCCCTGCATTCAACCAGTACTTTCAGGCGACTTTCAGGTATATATATATATATTGTAATTGCAATGGCCTCCACCCTGGTTTAGCGATGGCCTCAAACCTAATATTATCATGTATTTGGATGCGCGATCATGATGGATGAAGCCACTGCCGATGTTATTCTCTTGTTCTTTTCGCAGGAGGTGGGTTCCAAGCTGGGGCTTTTGATGCAAGACATGCTCTTGGACACCTTCCCTGAAACAGTCCATTTGGACAGCGGCAGGCACCAGGGTTGCATGAAACCTCCATTTTGTACAATGTTCTAGATATTGCACTGCATGCCCATATAGACTCATCAGCGTAGAGAAGGAGTGAGACACTCTAGAATCACAACCTGAGTATCATCAGACAGGCTGCAGGCGCAAGTTCCTCCTCGTCGACAAGGTATGCAGCTGTTGTATTCCGCCCTTACAAGTGCAATGCTGCATTCTCCTCAAATGTAATTACTCAGTGAGTTGTTTCATACTTGGTTGGCACATCAAGAACTGAAGATACAGGAGATGAGTTATGGCTTATAATCATGGCTTTAAACTTGGAGCTCCGAGACGAGACTCAGCGTGAGCAAGTTGGATCCTGTTGTGGCTGCCTTTGTTAGATCTCACCCTCGTTGGGCTTCCTGACAGGCGCCGACACGCACGTCATCCTGCTTTGCCTATGTGCTGGTCTGGCCATCCCTGTCACCGGCCTGGCGGCCGCACGAGGATGGAATGTCCCCAAGATTGTCAGCCGAGGCCTCAGTGTTTAGACGTGCCTTGAATATGCCATGCCTTTGTTCTTTGGCTTTGAATATGCGAAGCATTCCGAATCCAAAGCCAGGCATCCAATACTTCCCCAAATCTGCTGGAAAGAATGGCCTTTTTGATAAGGCTTCATTGCTCTAGAGGGTTTCAGCCAGTTTCATCCTGTTTAAGGTGCCATGTTTGAGATCCGCAAGGCTGGAGCTGGTGATTCCTGTGATGACTCGCTCTCTGATTTTGTCAGCTCTCTGATCCGCATGGCAGGTGCGGTGTGATGATTGCCAGGAGGGGCGAGGGAACGCTGTGGAAGAGATTCAAATCGAACTCTCCGCTCGCATCCGAAGACTGGAAATGAGCCCAGATCCCAGTGGAAAGAAACACATTGGACTTGCCCGGGGTGAACACCCCTTTAGGGGGCATTGATGTTTCATGTTTAATCGCAACCGCTGTGTGCACATGTTGTCCCATCCCGGAAAGCACCTTGTTCTTCATTCTTAGTGTTGCTCGGTTCCCCCCTCTACTAATTTCATTTAGTTACACAATTGTCCTAGCGGTCCTAGCTAAGGCAAAAGTCGCACTGACTGGATGAGAATGTACAATGACAGCCAACATACATTACAGATCATTACAGTACATACTGTGCATCGCTACTAGTAACAAGCGGATTACTACTAGTAACAAGAAGCTACTAGCTTCTTGCTACTAGTAGTAATGCCAGGAGCTACTAGTAGCTTCTTGTTACTAGTCTGGTTTCGGAGCTGATGAATCCAGACTGACGGGAGCCAAGGTGGACTGTTGCAAGACGACGAGGAAGAAACTATTGAAGAGATCCATGAATCCATGAAGATCCCATACCATTCGACTCATCGCATTTAAGCGCACTGGCGCAGAGAGCCCAGTTATTGCTTTTGTCCCAAAGGATATGCTGGATGTGTTTAAAACTCGTGCATGTTTGCATGGCTCCGCCGTGAAAATTGCAGCGGGCAATGTCAGCTGATCGGGATTTGCTTCCGTCTTTGCTACGGGCAGCTCGGCCAGTTTCCGCGAGCGTGCCTTCGTTCTAAGTCGGCCATGCTCAAAAATGTGCCTACGAGCTCTTGAGAAACATGCCGAATCCGCGTGGCTTCAACACCGTGAGTTCAGACTCCGCACAAACTATTTTGCTACGCAAACTTGGGATTCGATACATTCGGCTCGCGGAAGGCTGCGGACGAGGTGATCAATCGGACGAAATTGATGATGCAAGGCTTTGAGGAGTTGGGTCTGTGTTTTGGGCCGGTGTGAGTGAGGAAGGGTCAGGAGCTCTGCCCCTGCGAGATGCCTCACCAACTCACCGCAGCGTCTCCAGGATCGGGAGATGCGCTACCGGGAGCAACTCGCACAGGGAAGGGTGCGATGCCCAGGGTCGGGGGTCAGAGAAGGAGTAAGAAAGGAGCGAAGGATAGGCTCGGCATGGCTCGGCTACTCGTAAGGATAGGCTACTCAACATGAGGTGCTCGTTCTATGTCGATCTAAGGATGAACTCCTTGACCACTCCCGGGAGTACAGCAAGTTGCAGGGCAACCTGCGCAGGCGGATGGAACGTGGAGCTCGAGTGAGCCCACGATGTCATACCTGTTTTTGACCCGTTCCCAGAGCAAGAAAAGATCACACTTGAGACATCCAGATTTGGATCATGTTTGTCAATTTTGTAATTCAGGAAACAAACATCCAACAAAACTGTCCGTATTTTGTAAAAGGTCTTTGGAGGACTTGTCCATTCTGCGAGAGGATCTTGAGATTGTACGGAGCTTGTGATGTCTCGATCTTGTTTGATTCGCATTCCGTTCGCTGTTTCACCAGCGGCTTTACCGTATATTATTCCAAAGCAATTAACTGATTGACAAAATTGGTTGAACTTTTCGCCTACGTTCAAGGATCTGCATAGGGTACTTTTTGCAGTTACTTGGGCTCAAACACGCATCCTTTTGAAGGCATGGGCTCGGGTGCTTGTAAGGGCGTGTGCGTGGCCGCCCAGGACGCCTCTGATGAGGAGATCTTGCAATTCTTTGCTGCGTGGCCCAGTGACCAGCGTGAGCGGGTGAATGGCTTGTTGAGCAGTTGCTCCGAAAAGGCTCCAGCAGAGCTGAGTGAAGCTTTGCAAAAAGCCGAAAGTAAAGCCAAACCTTTGGACGAGAAGCAACTCAAGCAGGTGCATTCAGCATTTCGCTGGGGAAAACCTATCCCTGAAATTGAACAGGTAGTGAATGAGTGGGGGAATGAGCTTACTATGAAGGATGCCATTTGTGCCGCAGACACACAAAATGGCAACCTGGCACTCCACATTGCAGCCCAAAATGGTCACATGTCCTTGACAAGGTTCCTTTTGGAGCAAGGAGCAGAGCCCAACGCACAGAACTTCAATGGTCAAACTGCCCTTCACATGAGCGTCGAGTATGACATGTACTTCCAGTCGAAGTTGCTTCTAGATGCCAAGGCTGACCCCAACATCACCAATGCCGGGGGTCACAAGGCATTGACAGGTCTCGAAGGGCTCAAGACAGGTCAAGACGCTTGGGACAATGCTATGAACATTTTGAAGGCAGCAAATGATGATGAAGAGGAAATGAAGGCTGGTGGGGCCAGGGGTCCCGGAAACGCAACAAGCACGAGGAATGCTCGAAAACACATTCCCAAGATCGTAGTTAGAGATCATACTCGCGGTTCGTTGAACAGGGTGCCCATTGGTGCCCATTACGTGCCGATGTTCTCAGTCTTTGAATTTCTTACGGCGGTTTCTCACAGAATATTTGTAGACAGCCTCCCAGCAACATCCTACCACTGGCCATGACTCGCTCAGACCTGGACTCAATAGCTGTTGACAGAATCACTCTCACCACTTCGCGAAGCGCTTTCAGGTGGCTTTTGAAGCGCTGGAAGCTGCAGACCCTGCGGACCTGGACCGTGCCACTTTGGCGGGCACCGGCATGCGGAAGCGAAAGCAGTGCCCGAAGCACTGGCAACCGGAGCGCTTCAAGGCCTGGACCTTTGAAAGATTTTGAAAGGCTATTTTCCTATACAAACCAGCAACTGGTTTTGATGTTCCATGTTAATCTTCCAGGGTGTACTGTATCTCACGTGATCTCCAAATTGGACATCTTTCAAAACAAAATAGATAAAAGCAAGACGCTCTTTTGATAGACGACACGGGACACAAGGATATCGTCCAATAGATTATAGCATCATATAGTTTCAAAGCGCCTCTAAAGCGTTCAGTCCTTCAATAAGGACGAACTGCCGAGGCCATTGTTCAAAAGCTTTGATGACGAGAAGTCCGTGGTTTTTGGGCCGGGACTTCCGTATTTCCGCTCAGCGAGTCAAGACCAACCTCAAGCCAGCTCAACGGGAGGCATATTCATTGCGCACACAGCATGTCCAGAGGTCCTACCATTTGCATACATATATATATATATATGTATGTATGTATGTAGGCTTATGCAGGCTAGAAAATACCATGTGACGGAGTGGAAAGCATTGTAGGTGGCGGAAGTTGGCAGTAGCAAAGTCTGAGTCTTATGTCAGGTCTCACCCACTTTGGTGATGGGCGTGTAGGATATGGAAGGATTGGAAGTCTCCAGTGGAAGTTCTCATTCAACACAGCTTTTTACAAACAACACAACGCGGCTTGAAGAATCCTTGCGGCAGGGATCATATTTGTCGCTGTTGCTAGCCTGACAAGTAGGGTCTCAGGTTTGTGAGGATTTTCCGGCTTCTTCCCCTGTAAACACCTCTTTTTCTCCACTACGTCTTCTGAGAATGCTCATTTTGGGCCCACCAAGAGCCAGTCCACTGGATTTGCATGGCCAGATGCAGCGAGTTCTTGGCCATGCCACGACCTGACGGGCCGAAATCGATGCCTGTCAAGGGCCGCTGTTGAACAGCGGGCCCCATTAGTTGCAGATGTGGCTGGAAGGAGCGATGTGCTAGTTAGCTAGTTCTTGCAGAAGCCTTTGATCCACTGGAAGATTCTGGAAGCATCATACTACTTCATGAAGATCTTTTTCAGCTTTTTAATCTCTATAGTTGGTCCATGCTTCAGATGCCATGTCTGAACATGTGAAAGCCGTCTTGGCACACAATCAACTCGCTCCGAACTGATGAAAAACATGTGGAACCAAAGCGTAGCATAGCGTAGCTGTGTAGTGCGAGGAGTTTGAGGCTTTCAGAGCCTAGTGTTTTCATCGCTACTAGGAGCAAGGACACTACTAGGGGCTCCTGGCCTTACTACTAGGAACAAGAAGCTACTAGGGGCTCCTGGTCGAAGGATCCCAAAGGCCAAAGGAGCGTTGTCCAAGGCCATGGACGAGATGAAACGATTTGAGCGACACTGCGAGGACGGGGAGCGCGGAGAACGCCGATGGGAAGACTTGCTCGGCTCCGCAGTGGGCAGTGATATCGCTAAGATAAGATCTGTATAGTATAGATATGATATAAAATGTGTTGAAGGACAATGTGTTTGAGTCCAAATTGTTCTGTGCTCTCAAAGTCAATGACACGTCACATCAGAGCTTCTTTGATAGAAAAAAAACCGGAGGGTATCTGAATTGTTACCTTTTTTTGGACATCGGCTTTAAGTTACATTTGCTCCGGGAGCTTTGGCCATCGTGGCAGGACGATGCAGACCGCGATTATTCGACCTTCGTCGCGGTGACCAGCGACCGAAAGGAGTTGGAGCGGAAGCTGGCCGAGCTGAAGGATCGAGGTTGGATGGCACGGAGGAACTCACTGGGCACGGTGTGCAGAATTTGGGGTAGCCTGAGTATCAAAGACCATCAAACACCCAAAGGAACAAGGACGATACTAGGGGCTCCTGACTCAAGTCTAAGGATCCGAAGGGCTGCGTGGGCAGATCTCAAAAAAAGCATTCTTGTGGAAGTACAATGGGTTTTAAGACGCGTGTTGTTGCTTAAGTCATTTTAAGTCCAAGAGGAGTGTTAAGTTTAGTGTTGCTTAGTATTGATTTCAACGGATTTTCAGCCTTCTCCGATTTTGGGATACACATGACCCACTCCAAGGTAGTCAGTAGGCCACCATGATCATTTTACGGGGCAATGTCACGAATCCATCGACGTGGGAACAGCGCCATGGCTGTGTGTCCGAGTTTCTCCAAACATCTAGGACGCAAAATCACTTGCACGAAGCCTGAGCGAACGCCACCCTGCGTCCAAGCCTAGTACTGGTACCAGCTACTTGATAAGCTTACTGTAGCTTACTCGTTTACTACCCGACTACCTGCCCAACTCCCCCCGGCAGGCCATGTATAAATAAACCTACTCCGCATGAACCAACCGAGTCGATCTGCCAGACTCGTGTGCGTTTAGAAATTGTTTGTGTGCGTTGGTGGTTAGAAAAGGGATGAACATGGCGAAAGGCCAGGATTAAGCTTTGCCAATTCTTCAAGGGCTGGGATAGACCGTGAAGGAAATCGATTGGATGGAACCAATCATGAAATCGTAAACAGCAGCACCCTTTGTGGATGCCTTTCAGCACCAGCTTGTTGGACTTTGGACCGAACTGTCAGGGCACCACCTGGATGTTGAGACGAAGATGCTGCGCACCCGCGCCCAACAGGCACTGCCTTTCCCAACATGCAAGGGGTGAGATACGAATTAAGAATACATCGTGAGGAAGGATTCTTATTCACGTTGCTAGTGCCGCATTAAGCAGTTCACCAATTCCTAAGCCAGATTCTTGAAGCATTGCAAAGCAACTGTGCGAGGGCCGAATATACGGCCCTCTGGCCTCACTTTTGCTGTTAGATGGCCAATCACTTAGTCGATCCAACCGTCGGGGGTTGGGTCAATAGCTGTGACTGTGAACCTGTCCAAACCTTTTTG